CGTTAAAATTACTAAAAGAAAACATTCATTGTCAATTTTTTTTAATATTAGACTCAAACCAATAAATTTTACCTCAAGCCTTTGTTTTCTTGTRTTTTATTCCATTTACAAAAAGTTATTTGTATTATAATGTTTATCAGATTTTAATTGAAGGTGCAGTTTCCTATTTGTCCAGCAGAGGTCAGTATTTTCACATGATTTCCTCCGTTCATATTTATGAGCTCCATTCTTTCTCAATTATAATAAATTAATAAACCAAAAAACTTTTAACAAACAAGATTCAAAATTCATCTTAAAGAAAACTTATTCTAAACATCAACATTTTATTTATTTTTTTTCTCTCTAAACTTTAAATAAATCTTTTTCTTAAGAAAACCAGAAAAAGGAAAAAAACAATCAGTTTTGTGACAAAGAGATAAAATTTTTAAATCCAATTTTGTTTTTGATTTGAAATAAAAGCTAAATGAAGTCTTAATTGTTCAGATTTGGTTCAGTTTTCTATTAAAATTTATTTGGTTTAAAACTTTAAAGTGAAATCCGATTAATTGAATCCAGGTTTAATAATTAAAACTTTCATCATCAGAATAAAGTCAGAATTTATTTTTATTTCATGATTTATTCTCAGCCTCACGAGGCTCTGCTGCTCCAACACGACTCGGTTCTGTAGAGTCCAGTCACGACCCAAATGATGACAGAATCCTGCACCACGAGCAGCAGACGTCACCGCGGGACCGGCACCTCCTCGGTGACGTTACCGGACGGAAGTTGACGCCCCCTGCCGGACGGCCGCAAGGCACGTGCAAGGCATTACGTCATCTGAGGGGGTGGGGGGTACCTCAGTGTCTGGTTCTGTTCGGTTCTGTTCATTGATGTCTGGGAAGGAGCAGCGGGGTTAACTGTAAACAAACAAACAGTTTGTTTATTTTAACAAGTTTATTTTCTGCAGAAATGAAGTAAAAACTCCTTCATGGATCAGGTGTTATTACCACTGTAATAACAGTCAAAATTCAATTATTTTTACACAGAGTCAATATCTTACCTGCTGCAGATACGCTGCTCACCAACCAGGACCTTGGAACTGGAATTAACATCAAACCCACCTTAACTGGATCCCAGTTCCAAGTAGGAAACGGGAATGATTGACTTATTATTGGACTCAAAGACCAGGCTAATTACTGTTAGCAAAATATCTAACTTTGTGCTTTTTTGAGAGTTATTTTGTTTTCGGGTTCTTTGTGTTCAGTTTTTGTTCCAGCAGTCAGCCTGCTGCACCCACCTCCACAGCTGCAGCCACTCCTCACATCGGCCTCTGACGTCCAGTCCTCCTTGTGACAATCCTCGTGTTTCTGCAGCTTTTCATGTGCGAGGCAAAAGGGTAGCTAAAACTAAAAGTGGCGTAAAAGGTAATGCTTAGTATTATAATTAAATGCTGAAGGTAGCTAAAAGATTGCTAAAGCTCGTAGTACCAAATAGTAGCTAACAAGTATGTGATACAGGCTAGCAAAAAGTTAATAGTAGGCTAGCAAAAGCATAGTTAAAACTTAAAGGTGGCAAAATGGTAACAGTATCACAGCTAAATGCTAAAGATATTAAAAAGCTAGCTACATTTAATAGAATCAAAACAGCTGAGATCTACATGTAGAAAATAGCTAGCTAAAAGCTAATAGTAGCAGAAGGATAGCCCAAACACAAAATGTCAAAAAGGTAATAATATTAGCATTATGGCTAAAGGCTGAATATAGCAAAAAGCTAGTTAAATAATAATACCAAAGAGTAGCAAGAGCTAAAATAGTAGAGGATTAGCTAAAAGTAGCAGAAGACAAAGTTTCATAGCTGGAACAGTTTTAATACTTTWAAATTGAACAGATTTTAATTAAATTTAAATATTTTGAAGTCTCAGCTGGTTTTAACATATAAAACAGTTAAAAACTCAAGTGTAAAAAATAGATTATAAAAAGGTGAACTATAAAAAAACTATAATATAATATAATATAATATAATATAAATGTTTATCTGTCAGGTTTTGAATCTCATTCATGATTGTTTTAATTGAGAGAATAAAACCGGAAGTCTCGCGAGAACTGGCGGGATCTGCTCCACCCGTGCGTGAGTCGAGTAGTGATGAGCAGGGAGGTGTGCCTGCTCCGTGATGATGATGATGGTGAGGCGCCCTGCCTCACATGATCAGCTGCTCCTCCGCACAAACACCGACAGGAAGGAGGTCCGCTCCCGAACCCTCTGAGGACCACCGGAGTCCCACCAGAGCCCGGAACCGCACAGGCCGAACCCGCAGCCCGGAGAACCGCAGGAGCGACACGAACCCGGGGAGATGCTGGGCTCCCMGTGAGTCCCGGCCGCCGGAGGAGGAGAGGGGAGGACCGGGGGGAGGCGGTCGAACATGTCGTGAGCCGCGAACCTGTCAGCCGAAACGACACGCCGAGGAGGAGGAGGAGGAGGAGGAGGAGGAGGAGGCGAAGGAGGAGGAGGAGGTGGGGTGGTGGTCGAGAAGATGTCCGCCTCGGTGGGGCCCCAGGGAGGCCCTCGCCCACCCGCCGCGCCGCCGTCCATGCCGGACCTGCCGGACCTGAGCCACCTGACCGAGGAGGAGCGGGAGATCATCATGGCCGTGATGGCTCGGCAGAAGGAGGAGGAGGAGAAGGAGCAGGCCATGCTGAAGTAAGAGCAACCTCACAGCAGAACCTCCCAGTCCGGGTCCGGGGGCTCAGCAGAACCAGGGCTGGTCCATCACAGACCGGAACGATGGACCAGGACCTGGTTGTGAGGCGCTCCTCGGTGGGGTGTGGTTTACAGACTCAGCAGGCCCGATCCGGACGGACCTGGTGTGTGTGTGTGTGTGTGTGTGTGTGTGTGTGTGTGTGTGTGTGTG